AGGTGAAACAAAAATGGCAGTAGCACTAAAAAAGCATCAAAACGAATGAGTTCAAAAACTGTTTTGAGCAGTGGAAATAGCATCTCGATAACTGTATTGCATCAAACAGAGAGTACTTTGAAGGTGATTGAAGTTTAAATAAGAATAAATACACAATTTTAATAAGTAAATTTTTGCCTCCTCCCATGATGGTAGTATTATTAAGAAATTAGTGGTGACCTTGCAGACCCCGGACGGGGACTCAGGTCTGCTAGGAGTCCATAGACTGTACTTTAGAACTACTTTAGTGTAGTGCTCAGACTCTACACTATGTCAGAGGGCTTATCTATTCATTAACATCTTGGTAATAATCCTACATATGATGATAAAGTCAGCTGCTGCTCACTTCTCTTGCTTCTGTGCTCCTCCCTCTGGGCACTGTTGATCCTGAATATTTACTATTTATTTTTTAAAATGATAATTTATTGCTGCTGTTGTTATAAAAATACAGTAATATATGCATTTGGAAATAAAAGTTTAAATATTTCCCTTGGTCCCACACTCTATTTCTGTTTAAGTTCTGCTGATTATCTCCATAACTCCAATGATCCTTTTACTTTAATTTCTGGATTTGTCAAGCCACATCTATTGGTTCCCCACATGAGGGATGAGACACTTAGCTCATTTATACTATTGTTCCTCACTTACACTCTTGCTCATCTAATTTTTGAGCATATATTTATATTTTTATCTTTGATCTTAGTTCATGTGGTTATGTTTGTGGCTTTTTTTTTTGTTTTTTTTTGCATTGGAGTCTCACTCTGTTGCCCAGCTGGAGTGCAGTGGCACGCTCACGGCCATCCTAGTGATGACCTGTTATCCTTCCACTGGGTTCAGACGATCCTTCAGCCTCAGACTTCCAAGAACCAGAACTACAGGTGCTCGCTACCATGGCTGGCTAATTTTTTCATTTGTTGTAGAGACGAAGTCTCACCAAGTTGTCCAGGCTGGTCTTGAACACATAGGCTCAGGCAATCCTCTGCGCCTTGGCCTCCCAAAGTCCTGGAATTATAGGCTTGAGCCCATACCTGGTCTGTGGCTTTAAATAATGTACCTAAACATCAATTTCTGCTAAACTTAACATTGACCAAGAGCCGACCAGGATGACTGTTATTTGCAGGTAGATCCCAAAGAGAAGTGAGGGAGACAGATTGTGCTATTCAAGCTCAATTTCTGCTTCCAATTTTACTTCTTAGGTAATTCATGGGTCCTCCTGTGTATCAGAGTAGGTAAGGAATAAAGAGAGTCAATTGTTATAATAACTGATGCATGAGCACATGATAAAATAAAGTAGGGAAAAAGCCATACCCTCTCCTTACCAATGATCACATTTGATTTTGGGGGTAAAGTTGAGGCCACAAAAGTAACTTGCCCAATTTATTTAGTTAAGAACAGATGTTAGACTACAGCCCAGTCTATCCTCTTTGCTATTCTAATTGTACTGAGGACGTCCCTGTAATTAATTGGGGGTAGAAATAGTATGGTTTTACTGGGTTGATCACAGGTAGGAGAGATAACTTATCAATATTATATTTTTGTAGCTTTTATTATGTTTAAAATGATAGTCTTTAAATTTTGATAAATTTGTCATTTTATTCACTGATAGGTAGAGTAAACTTTCTTCTTGATAGTATATTTGTTTTGTGGGCTTTTAAAAGTTTTGTTTGCCTTGAAAGATATAAATTAAGTTCTGAAATGATACACTAAAACACTAGGAGTATACAGTATTTTAAGCTTGCATCTCTTTTTAGGTGGTTAGAATTAAAAATTCAGATTCAAAATTTTATTTACTAAATAGAGAAAAGACTCATGTTCTCTGGTTCAACTGTATAAATTATGTATTATATTTGAGAGTAAGGTCTGGTTTCCACTTCAGTTATTGATTTGAAATAGAACATTTTGGCATCAGAAAAGTAGACAGCAGGCATTTTCTACATTTAATTTATTCCCTCATAACCAAGAAGCAGCTTGATACAGACAGTTTGAAGTAAGATTTGTCACTGATTTGTGCTTTGGAAATGTCATTCTGTTTAATTCAGTTTCCTATATGGTAAAATATGGACAAATACATTCTTACTAACAGTATTTTGGAGACTTTATGCTGTGGGCATTTACTTGGGAAATTTGCTTTGACTTCCTTGAAAGGGACTGCTAAGAAAATATGATAGTTAATTTTATGTGTTGATTTTGACTGGGCTCCAGGATACCCAGATAGCTGATTAAAAACACTGGGTAGCTGTGAGGGTGTTTCTGGATGAGATTAGCATTCAAACTGCTAGATTGAGTAAAGTAGATGGCCCTCCCCAGTGTTGGTGAGCATCTTCCAATCCATTGAGAGCCTGAATAGAACAAAAAGGTAGAGGAAGGTTGAACATTATTTGGTTGCTTGACCTGGAGTATTGATCTTCTTCCGTCCTCAGTGTTCCTGGTTCTTGGGCTTTCAAACCCAGACTGGAATCTACACCATTGGTTCTTTGGCTCTAAGGCCTTTGAACTAAACCACTAGGTCCCCAGCTTGTCTTCTCATCCTCTAAAATCACATAAGTCAATACTTTATAATGAGTTTCTGCCTATATATCTGTTTGTGCATATGTATGTATGTCTTCTATTGGTTCTATTTTTCTGGAGAACTCTGACTAATACAGTAAATGAGGTATTTGACTTGAATCTGACAAATGAATGTCATTTTCTACTTATCAACTCTATTCATGATTCTTCTTTCTCTAGGAGATGTTCCAAAGGAGATGGTGAACATGCAGTTGGTTCCAGTTTTGGTGACTTATTAATTTTTGTGTTTATAACTTTTGGAAATAGGCTGAAAAGTGATGGAAATTCAAAGATTAGGATAGTTAAAGGGAAGAAGGTGCAAGAGGAGGTTAAAAAGTAAATTTAAAATATTAATAAATAAGTGAATAAATTTTTCTCTGTAGCATTTGTGAAGAGCACTGAATTTACAGAGGACTCTTATAGACAACAAATTGGGGATAATAAATGGCAAGAACATAGTAATAGCACTGCTGGCAGGGGGCAGGGGGGAGTGACTCCCAAACTCTGTTAGATACTGTTGGCCCCCGGTGAGTCTTACTCAAGCTAGATTCTGGATTGTCTTGGGAATGGAATAAATGTCACACTGTGTTTATTAGTCAGGGTTTTGCAGAGAAACAGAATCAATAGGAGGTAAATATGTGTCCTCTGAAGGATTGCTCTCATGCTTATAGATGAGAAGTCCCATAATCTGCTGTCTATAAGCTAAAGACTGGGTGAAGTCAGTGGTGTAACTCAGTCTGAGACCAAAGGTTTGAGAACCGGGGGAGCAAATGGTGCCAATCACAGTCTGAGAGCAGAAGATGAGGTGAGGTGACCCAGCTCATCAGTGAGCTGTGTGGGGGAGACAAGCCTATGGAGAATTCAATTGGTGTACCCAGACAGGGTGGGTTAAAAATGCCAAGATCTGATGTCTAGAAAAGAAAGGGACTGGAAGAGGAAAAGAAAATTCATAGAATGAAGATAAATATCTACATTTACATGACCATCACCTTATTATTGTTTTTGCAGGAATTGTTTTGCTAGATTTTGGAAAGAAAGGTTGAGCACCTTTTGAAAGTCTGAAGAACAAAAGGGACTCATTTGTGTAGAGCAGAACAGAGAACTGGGAGGAAAAAAAATGCTGTAATAATTTAGGTTCTCAGGTCTCCTAAGTAACAGCAGGGGTTCTCTTATTTGAAAGTCCCATGAGTGACCTAGGAACTGCTTTACATTTTTTAGGACAACAACAAAAAATGTCACTACAAGCAACATCAGACTCTATGAGGAGAATGATCTGTGAAAGGTTACACTATATTTCTTAAAAAGTACTTATTTTCTATTTGGAAACTTTCCATATGTCTCTCCATTTTGAATTATGTTAGTGGTATCATATTCTATAACCACCTCCCACTCACCCCCGGGCAAAAGCAATCAACTACCTACTTATTATCTAAAATTACCAGGCTCAAACTCTTTATTTTCTTATCAGAGTTTATTGTTGTACATATGAGGTACCATGCTACTATCAGAATTATATTCAGGTTTTTTATTTTAAAAAACTCAGAGAAAAAAATGTTTTCAGTAATTTTCATTCAATGTGAATGACAACAATATTATAGCTATAAACATTGAAATAACCATTTCATTTCTTCCTGAGGAAGTTTCATATTTTAAACAATGAAAAAGGGAATTCTATACAAAGCTAGTTTTAAATCACATTATTTCTCATTCTTTTCTCATGTGTATATATTGACTTTTAGAATAGCATAATAACCAGCTGGAGTATGTGATGTGGAAGATACGCATGTCCCCTAGAATTTCATGCTGTCTCCAAGACACGTTGAGCTGTCAAGTCCTTTCACAGTTTGATTGCTCTAGGTGGCATAATACATGTATTTGTGACTGAGTAAATTTGGTATGATCTCTTCTTTTCTCTTTCTTTAAACAGGCATTGAGTATGTTTTTGACATTCATTTTAAAGAGTGAGTTGTTCAGTCAACTCAGTTTACCTAGACAAACATGCCATTAACAGCTTTGTTTAGAAGTTCAAATGTGCCTACTATTAAAGCTTAAATGTATCAGATGTTCCTTTTTTCTTTCATCAGCATAAATGTTGCCAAATAAAAACATGACACTGTATGTAACTGCTGGAGCCCGTTCTCACTATGTTTGACCCTCTTAAGCCAGTTTTTTGGGTTTTTTTTTGAGTTGGAGTCTCACTCAGTCGCCCAGACTGGAGTGCAGTGGCCGTTCCCCGTCACCGCAGCCTCGACCTGCTGGGCTCCGGGGATCCTTCCGCCTCAGCCTTCTGAGTAGCCGGAATTACGGGCATGCGCTACCACGCCGGCTAATTTTTTTGATTTATTGTAGAGATGAGGTCTCGCCAAGTTGCCCACGCGGATCTCAAACCCGGGGGCTCAGGCAATTCACTCACCTCAGCCTCCCAAAGCATGGGATTACAGGCTGAGCCACCGAGCCCGGCTGCCAGTTTTCTTAATTAGCAGAGATGAGAGATGATAATTTTCCTAGCATGTTTGTCATGTGCTGCTTTAAAAGAGGCAGCTGTATGAAGACTAAGTTTGTTGTATTTGTTCTAAAGACTTTGATTTTGCTTTTACAATCGGGTCTTACATAATTGGTTATTTCTCCAATTCTTTGTGCTAATAGCTTGTTTAAAAATTATTGTATTCTTTGGATACATAAAATTTTTAAAAATTAAATTAGTAATTACTATGTACATTAAAAATTTATAGTAAATGGGAGGATATCACAATTTGGTTTTTGGGTAGTGAATAAGAGTTTAATTTTATATATTATAATGGCAATGAAAATATTACAGATTCTCTTTGCATATTTTTTCTAATCAGACCTTTGATAATATTTCAGAGAGGCTTATTGTCATAGCAGGGAATTTATTTACCACTTAAGTTTTATGCATGTGTATAGTACATTTAAACATTGAGTAACTATTAACAGAAAAATAAGTATGACTTATTTTCTTTTATTTACCATGTATGTCATTTAAAATTTAAGTATAACTATATTTCAAGAACTGTGTCTTGCCTATATTTGTACTTTTTGCATTTAATTTCATCAGTAATCCATAAATTTAACTATGTTCTGTTATCTTCCACCACAGTGAGATGTGAAATATTTTCAAAAATGCGATTCTGCTCTGCTTATGTTTCTTTGCCTTGTATCAAAAGTATTGCAAATATTGTATTAGAAATCATATATTAATTTGTTTCTGTTATAAATTTCTATATTACACTAATTTATGTTGAACTTCCTTGTAAAATGTAGTTTTCCAATAATTTAAAGGTAAGTAGCCTACACATTTTATCTAGGGAATCTATCCTTAGTTTTCATTTAATAGGTTTTACTCCGGGGAACATCTAAAAAAAGCTACTCACATTTAAAAGTCAAATCTGTTTTCTGAAGAGGACACACACCTCAGATTCTATGCATGCATGTGTTTCTGTAGAACTAGTAAGGAGTACCAGAGTAAATGAGCAGTTACAGCAAGTGGACATAGAGTTCTCAGTGTATCTTTAGACCCCTATAATTTCTCCCTTTTAGAGGATTTAGTCAATATGCTTTATGCTATTTATTGTTTTGGAATACTCAATGTGTTCTATTTACCATTCAACAGATTTACAATATATACTTCAGTATAACAGTTACATTATGATGGAGGAGTTAGTAATTTTTACATATGCACTAGACTATGTATATGAGAAATCACCTTTTGTTTGCACCTTTTTTTGATGCAGATAAAGTTCATACATAACTTTTCCACTCTCTGATCTAGGACAAATTATAATTTACTATTATTTCTAAATATTTCAGAGGAATTAAATTTTGGCAAGCATTTTTCATGGGTGTTATGCTTTTGACATTTTATGCTACATTGCAATGTTTGTTTTTGTTTTGTAGGATACTTTATAGAATCAAAGAATAAGAAAACATTGTACAAACAGGTCTAAAAATCTACAGAGACACAATCCTAGTTGATACATAAAAGTGTAAATATTACTATGAAATGGAACAATTCTGCATCTGTGTTTGATATTTATGTTGGTTGCTATTGATTTCCACATGAGTGCACAGTAGTCTACAATAATCCCACAGGCTCAGATATGGGTTAAGAGGAAGGCCATAGGCCTCAAGGCTTGTAACAGATACTTTTTCTTTTTTTTCATCCACGTGCCAGCACATGGAAGAACTTTGTTCTTTATTCTCATTTGAAGAGGTATATTTTCAACAGCCTTTTGGCAGCTTCTGGAAGCTTTGGAAAAAATGGGTTTTACTTGGAAGGTGAAGTCTCGAGAGTTTTCTCTCAGTGCTATCTTACTTTCTGCAACTCCTGTCTCAGCCAGGATGGCAGAGGCTGCCCCAGTTTGTGCAGCAACTTTGAGAGTTCCACATTGTGATCTCGATAGTAGTTTGATAGAAATGTTCTGCTCTGAGTGGGGAGGAGGAGAAAAAATACATATGATTTTGTTTGTTGAAATAAGTATCTAGTACATCAGATCTGGATTAACATTTATATTAAGCACGCAGACTACTTATTTAGCATATCCTATGACATTTTGTTGACAGTCTTGGGTACTGGTACTTTTCTACACAAGAAAGAAGTGAGCAGTGCAGTGACAGTGCAGCCACTCTAATCCGTCCCACACATTTATATTTCCATTACCTTTATGGAATCTTCTTTTACCTCCTCTCTGAATACTACCTGTATAGAATCATCCACTTTAATCCCTCAGATAAAAACCCAGCATGTATTTTACAGTAACATTGTTGAGAGATCTAAAAGAATTAATATTCTGAAAAGTTGTATTTCTCTACTACTTAATTTAGTGCTCTGCCTCAGTATGTCTATTTTAGACCACAGTAAAATAAAATGCTAAGAAAGATATGCAGTATCTCTTAAACATCTCACCTTTAATACATAGGTAAGGAAATAGTTTTGACATAAATGAAAATGATATATTGATATTACTTTATTGAAAAACTATAAAAATTGCACTTCAGCTTCTTTTAAGGTGTTAGGATTGTTTTTGCAGTGATCTGAAGGTATATTTTAATAATCAAGGAAAATTGGAGATCTGGAAACATAATTCGTTTATCAAAATAACAGAAGACCCTCCCCATGTCTTCTATATATCATTTAATTATGAGCTTATTGAAGACAGGCCCTGTCTCTATCCGGCAAGGCATAAGAAATGGTCCTCAAAGTCTCGTTAGATAAAAATATTCAAATGAGTTGAGCTCACCTTAGAATTCTCAGATCACCTTAGGATTCTGAGTTAACATAATGTATTAAACATGTGAAGAAAAAAGAATCCAAATAATATTTTAATTTCTGAGGTCTAAAAATATTATAAATCATACTCTTACAGTTTTAGGTTCAAACTACTAACTATACTGATAATAAAGAAAAACATTAATCTTAATATATGTGAAATAAGCATTAAAGTAAAAATGCAGGATATACAAACTGGGAAATCTGTGGCATTAAGTGACACCATGTCACCATTCTGAATGGAATAAACATGAAGTGTTAAATACTTACTGCAGGATATGCATGTTTGCATTTCCTAAAGCCTAAATTATCTGCTAGTATGTTAGACGTTTGGGAAATATAATAATTCTTTCATCTTATTAGCATGTTAACAACTCAAAGCTTAATATATTAGTAATTCATATTATTTCCCAGGCAACACTAACTACTACAGAGTGGCTTATGCAGTGAAACAAATAGAAATCTTTTGTCCTATTTTCACTTTCCAGTAGATATATTTCTGTTTTAGTTTCAGTTAACATTTGTGCTACATTTTCTGTGCAGGTATTATTTTTTTTTTGGAGTGAGATAATATCTTTTTGTTCTTATTGAAAATGTCAAATTCCATTGCCTTACTTTGTTCTTGAATGACAGGTAATTCAATATCATTGGAAAAATCAAAACAAGCAATTTACATGTACTGAAATCCAAATGTCACTTTTAATTTTTAGAAAGGCTGAATTTTGACTTTAACTAGTTTTCTAATAAAGTGGATATGATATTATTGTTTGTTATTTTTCTCATTTAGTTTGTATTTTTAAGCTTTATACTTACATCAGAATCCATTGGAGGATATTTTCTTCCTTTGCTCTTTCCAAGGCATTTTGTTTTACCTTCTTCCAGTAACTGACACCAAAAACCTTTATGAGAATCAAACCTTAAAAAAATAGAAAATACAAAGAAAACAAGAAATAATTTTAAAACAATTTCTAAAATATAGTGACCAATACATAAATTTCCAAAAAATTTATTTGTATATCAACCTATAACCAGAGAAACTGGATTTTTAAAAACTACATCCCTTTGCATAATATCTGTTGGCACACTTCTGAATTCTCAGTCCATCTGTTCTATTTGTGAGTTTGCCAGGTTCCTAATAGAAAAATTGTCAGCAGAAGGCCTCCTATTAATAGAAATTAGTAAGGCTACCTCCTTTATCTGAAAGGAAAAAATAAGGTTCAAGTCAATTCTTTTCCTTTGTAGGATTTAAAAATCACAAGTCAGTCTTTATCCATGTCTCATGGATTTAGATAGTACTTGTATCTTATAAGTACAGGGTAATAGAGGAGAAAAGATTTTGATGTGCCATGGAATGATTACTTATAAGATTCTCTAGCTATAATCTATTTTATTTTCTTCTTTTGGAATGAACTCTGATTTAAATTACCAGCACCTATAAATGGAATTTCATGCCATAATTACAAAACAAATAATGGTACATCAGATTTGTTTTAGCTTACCAAAATATCTCACATAACTCTTTCTCATTTCAGCTCTTATTATAACCTTTGAGAATATGGTGTGAAGGATTCTTCTCATTGTTTAGCACATTTACCACATATTTGTTGAATAAACAATGAAAAAGAAGAAACTATTTTTCAAGGTTTGTTTATCTTGGATTATATGCTTTTTCAGCATTTAGGACATGACTGAAGTCTAGGCCTCCTGTCTCTAGGCTTGGGGGCTTTTCTTTTTAATTGGTCTCTGGGAATATTTTGTATTATTATTCACTGTAAATAAAGCAGTAATTTCCATGCTTAGTTACAGAAGTGAAAGTAAAAGTAGGCAATGACAACTTTTTACATCACTTTTGTTATTCAATGATTCTACTGCCATATTTTCTTCTTAATTAGAATTATTATTTGTGATAACTTTTTCCTTTTGTCTAATTTGTACCACTCAGAATGCTATTTCCTACACTTTGCTTAAAATTATAATGTGAACACATGAAATACCTAGGGATAAAGTTAGCAAAAAATATGTGCAATGTCTGTATACTGAAAACTACAAAACATTGTTGAGAGAAATTTTAGGACACCGAAACAAAAAAGAGAGCTATACTATGTTCATCAATCAAAAGACTAAATATTTGAAAAGTACCAAGTTCCTCCAGATTTATCTATAGATTCATTGTAATTCCAATCAAAACTCCTCTGGATTCTTTTTTTTAGTATAAATTGAAAACGATTCTAAAGTATATATAAAAATGTAAATAACCTAAAACAAACAATTTTAAAACAAAGAACAAAATTGGAGCTCTTATATTGTTTAATTTCAAGATTCGCTGCAGTATCAAGTCTGTGTGGATTGGACTCGATGGACCAGTGGAATAATACAAATAATCCAAAAATAAACCTACACATCTATGGTGAACTGATTTTCAAAAAATAGGTGTCAAGGTAATTCAATAGGAGAGTAGTCCTTTAAACAAATTTCACTAGAACAATTGGATATCTATACAAAAAAAAAGAACAATGACTCTTATCTTTCACTGTGTGTAAAAATGAACTTAAAATGGATTATTGATTAAACCTAAGTGCTAAAACTATAAAAATTCTGGAAGAAAACATAGAGGAAAAACACACAGAAAATTTTGTAACTTTAGGATAGGTAAACCTTTCTTGAGATGAACCATAAGAGAAATAATGATAATTTCGAGTTTATCAAAATTTAAAATTTTGCTATTCTAAAGAAAATGTAGGCCAGGCTAGGTGGCTCAGCCTGTAATTCCAGCACTTTGGGAGCCCTGAGGCGAGTGAATTGCCTGAGCCTGCGGGTTCGAGACCAGCCCAACTTGGTGAGACCTTGTCTCTACAATTAAAAAAAAACAAAAATCAGCCGGGTGTGGTAGCACGCACACCTGTAGTTCCAGCTACTCGGAAGGCTGAGGTGGAAGGACTGCTGGAGACCAGCAGGTCAACACTGGGGTGACCACAAGTGTGCCACTGCACTCCAACCTGGGGGACAGAGTGACACTCCAACTCAAAAAAGAAAAGAAAAAAAAGAAATGTAAGGGAGAATCATAGACTAAAAGAAAATATTTGTAAACATGTATCTATTGTATTCATATAACTCAATACAAAAAAAATCAATAAAAACTAGGTAAAGATTGGAACAGACACTCCACCAAAGAATAAATGTGAATAATCAATAAATGAAAATTTGTTCAACATCATTAGCCATTAAGGAAATGCAAATTAAAATTACAAATGAAATAGCAGTACACACTCACTAGAATGACTGAATTTAAATATGCCAATACCAAGTGTTGACAAAGATGTGGAATAAGTAGAACTATCATACTTTATTGGTAGAAATGAAAAATATTATACCCACTTTGTAAAGTTTCTTATACATAAAAATATATAATTATTATATGACCCACCAACCCAATTCTAGATATTTACCCAAGGGAAATGAAAATATTTGTCCATGCAAAGATCTTTACACAGATATTTACAGTAGCTTTGTTCATAATAGGCAAAAAAATGAAAATGACTCTTATGTCCATCATCTGGTGAAAGGATAAACAAGTTGTGGTATATTCATAAAATGGAGTACTACTCAATAATAAAAAAAATAATAATAGAAAAAGAATTGACTGTTCATAGATGTAACTACATGGAGAAATCTCAAAAGCATTATGCTAAGTGAAAGAAAGTAGATGGATGATTGCCAAGGGCTGGGGTGAGGGGAAAGCAACTTTTTGCACTCATGGAAATGTTTTATCTTGATTGTGATGGTGTATACAATTGTTTACATTTGTATTCACTGAACTGTACATTTACAATGTGTGAATTTTATTACATGTAAAATTATACAGCAATAAATCTGATTTAAAATTTAGTGTGATTTAATATATGTATGTGTGGGGGTAGTCTATAGGTAGTCAAATCTTGTAGAGTTTTAACTATAACCCTATGAAAAGAATGCAAACCTAGATTTCTGCCTCTGTATGACTTTATGTGTTGGAGACAATAATCACATTCCATTTATGCAAGACCCGTTTCTCATCATTATTAAAACAGTTGTATGAGATTAGGAAACACCATGTTATGTCTTCATGCTGATTATATACTTGTTTGAATCAATAAAGCAACTGAATAAATTAGTTTCATATTCAGAGGTACAAGGGGAGCATTAATAAAGACTGTATTATTTAAATAATCTATACATGAAAGTCTTTGGGAAACTCCAATACAACATTTCTGAAGTCTGCTATTGATGTAATATTTTTCATTAACATTTTGCTACCAGCAATTTCCACAATTGAATTTTGATTTATTTTATGTATCCAGGTGATCAAAATTCAGAATCCAGACCAGCTATTATTTTTTTGTAATAAACCTTGCTGTAGATACATGACAAACATACATATGCTTTGTGTTCAAATGAGCAGCCTTATGAGAGGAGGTTTTCTAAGAAACACATATTAAATATTCATACATATTAAAATTAAGAACAAAAATAGTTTTTTGGTTTCATCTCTGCTAATTAATTAGGTCTTACGTAGCAAAGTGTCATGCTGGGCTGCACTGAGAAAAAAATTGTGTGTATGGCTGGCAGCTAGCCTAGGCATCTGCATACATAAGTTCATAGATAGTGGTGTAAGTGTGTCAAGGTGGAAATGAGGAGAGGAAGGTGGTATCAGGGGACTGGGTCTGGTCCCCCACAGAAAATGGTCTCAGATAGAAGATGAAGGTTTTGTTGTTCATGAAGGGTCTTGTGAGTTTGGGGCATAAACAGTACTATTTCAGAGCCCAAGTGAAGAAGTTGGACAAAAGATGGAGAAAGGTGTCTCGACGTCTATTCAGAATAGTAGCAGTGTCCCCCTGAAGAATAGCCTTAGATGTCTGGTGAAACAAATAGAAAACAACATTTTAATGTAAGTACTGGCAATCATTGTCATGGCTGGGCCCCTCCTCTCGAGGCTTCAGGGAAGTGAATATTTTGGAGGAGGTGTTACATATTGTTTAGTGTCCCTCTTTATAGTTACCCTGTATGGAAGCAGGGATACTTTGCTTATCACTGTGTCCCCAGAATTATGCATATAATAGTTATTCAGTAAAACTTTGCTTGTTTAAAAGATAAAAGAGGAATTGACTAGAATGATTCTTAAGCTTGTATGGAGTATCACCTGGGTATGTTTAGCAATAACTGGAAAAGACTTGTGGGCAGAAGCACCAAGAGTCTCCAATAACACAACTTCTAAAACGTGATATTTCTATATTGATGAAAATATGACTGTAATTATACCCTCGAGTACATACATTCTAGGAAACATTCAGATTATACTTGGAAAGGTTCAAGTAGGAAATGTTCAGATTACGCTGAATGTTTGGCTGAAATGCCTTTAAATTAAAAATCCATTGTCATGGGAGAATATTAAATCGCAAATAGCACAGATAAATTTCAAAATCAAAATATTATCACTTAAGTGATACTAATATTGAACAAGCAAAGTTTTAAAAAATCCATTCTCTCCCAACAAACCTGCTTTTATTATTTAATTAGTCATTTTACTGATGCACATTTTAATTTTAACAACTTTTTTGAGGTTTAACTTATGTATCACAACATTCACCTATATTGTTACGTGTGCAATTCAGTGATATTTAGCAAATGTATATAGTTGTGTAAATATTGTCACAATCTAGTTTTAGAACATTTCCACCAATGTTAAGACTAAACTGAATCTCCCTTCCCCCCACGCCCTTTTGCAGTTGTTTATCAGAATCCTGTCCTCACGATGCAGTTACTCCTGTTAGAAATGCCATTTCTGAGAGCACATACTTTGTACCACTAGTCATCCTCAATATTTTCAAAGCACCACAGAAATAACTATCAGTGCAGTTACTCTAACAGGAGTAACTGCATCGTGAGGACAGGATTCTGATAAACAACTGCAAAAGGGCATGGGGTGAAGGGAGATTCAGTTTAGTCCTAAGACAATGACATGAAACTCCAAATATTCTGCAAGTGCACTGCCAGGTTTTACAAGGTGTGTCAGGCCAACTGACGACTGACAAGCAAGTATAAAAAGAAACTGAATGGAAGTGTGTTATCTCTATCAGCAGGGTGAGAGCTTGGGCAGCCCTGCTGAACTAGAAACTGTGGTTTCAGGGACTGCATGTGTCTTATCTTGCTACTTTACCCACTGAGCCCCCAACCAGATTAAAGAATCATGTAATGGGTAATTTTAGCTAGATACATCCCAGGTGCAAAGTGACCTACAGTTCTTTGTATATAGTATGTTGCTTTGATATTCTCTTAAGTTTACATTGCCTTTTCTCAGCTTGCTGCTGAGCTGGATGCAAAGGGGACAAATACACAGCATGCAGGTCAAGTACCATTCCATAAGAAAAGGGATTATTTCTTTATGGAATACTGTACTTCTTTTTTCTGAAATCATTGCTTTGCTGTGTACTCTATAAAAAGACCCAGAGATAAGCCAACTTGAAATAGAAAACTGTTTAGAAAATAAAAGCTTTCTTTCCTAAGAGATACTTAAAAAGATATAAAACAGAAAGTGGGCTTGAATTTCCAGCTGCAAAGTAAAGCCACTCGGCTTTCTTTAAGATCAAGTTGAATGTTAAATACCCAAGGCTAGTGTCTGTGTTAGTACTTGAACTAAGCTATACAAAACTCTGACAGTACTCAGAGTATTGAAAACATGGAGGTCAGAAGGTTAATAGTCACAACAAAGTAAATGACTCTCAGGAAGGAAACTCAAAACTCCAGAGTTCCACCTACGCCTTTGTCCTCTAAATGAAATGTATCTTGTATACGTTTCAACATAGATTTGTACAAGATATAAACAGTATTTGATGTTCTTCTGCTAATCTTTTGCTGCAAGAGATGCCGACAGGTAAAGGAAACCTTTTGCCTCTCACTTTCTAAAATGATATAGAATAAAGACTACAAAAGGGGAAAACTTGTTGATCTATGAAACCAAGTTTTATACTGAAAATACAATGGAATAACTTCACAATACAGTCTTTTTACATTTTGTTAAGCCTCAGTCTATGAGCCTAAAATATAAAGAAAATATTACAGTGAGTGTCAGGTCCATGGCCCATCCAACTCAGTATCTTCCAGTTCCTCCTGCCATGTGGGATAGGAATAAATATAACCCTCATAAATCTGATAACCAAACAGAGTAAGACGGAGTCTAATTTAAAAATACTAAATGATATCTAGAGTCAGGACCAGGATCAGGTAAGAGAGGCAGCTAGGGCACAGAATGTAAGGAGGCATGCACTGAGGTATCTGCACAGTGTTGAGAGTGAGTACCTCTTTGAACCCTACTGTCTTTCTTGCTGTTCCCCAGTCCTGGATGTAATGGAGTTAGTAACCTAAGAAAATCAGAGAAAACCAGCAATAAACAGACAAACCAAGACAGTGCTGTAGCTGTTGAGGCCTCTAAAGGAGAGGTGACAGGGTCAGACTTATGGTGGGTAACGTCAAAGAAGCATAAATGGAAGTATGTTTAAGAGCAATCTTAAAACATATGCTTAAGAACACATACTTAAGAAAAACATTAAATGTTAAAAAAATTAAATGTTTAAAAAAAATTAAATGCTAAGAAATACATTAAATGTTAAAAAAATTTAAGAGTACATCTCTCTCTGCCTATTCAGTGAACTATTGGACATTGTTTTTGAAAATTACAGAAAAGAGAGAAGAATCAGTTCCTAAACCACCCAATCACTTGTTCATACCACCAAGAGGCCCAAAGATTGTCTGTTAAGTAGGCTCAGCCCTTACCAACCTATTTCAAGTAGCCTCTTTTAAGGTTAGTTGTTGGTTTTGAGATTTGCAACTTTTTTGTTTCCCTATTTTCCTTCCAGGGAAATCTTTGCATGATTAGGAATCAAAAGAGGATTTAGGACATTTCTTTGTCACACTGTTGAAATGTTGTTTCCCAAGTGGTTAATGTTGAACTGGAAAATAATCACTATATATGGAAGAGCCAAACTGACAATTGCATCACATCACTACAATTTCTTTAAAATCAGTTCTCTGCTGAGGCTTCAATAAACTAATTAGAATATAAACTTACGTTAACGCTTCTGAGTAATTATAATGAGGAGAGACTCCGAGAAACTTCTGTACTTCATCCATTACGGTAGCAGGATCAGTTCTTAGCAGTTGCCCATCAATAATTAGCAACTAAAGTACCAAAGAAATAAAAAATAATGACAGTGCACATTTTAAACAAGTCATGTTAAATATATAATTTAAAACGTCTGCTGTCTGAACTTATTCAATGAGAGACACCATCTTGAGGGGATTTGCATGCACTGTTGTTAGACATAACCAGGTCATCCCCATTAATGACCTGGAACAAGAAATAAATCATGCCAATTAAGTACACTCATGTTTGTAATCTCTGAGAAGTCCTGCAAGCACTATAAAAACAAAGAAGGCAGTTGAGGGGACCACGAGAGCTCAGAAATGTGACTAGAAATCTCAAATAGAAACCAAGTAAAAACAAAGCAATGATTCCATCATTCAAGCGGGGGAGAGGCATTGTAGAAAAGAAGAAATGTTATAATAATCCCAGGTGTAATAAGACAGAGGACGTGTCATTTGTCACAGTTCCATTCAGGAATAAGCACTGTAAAGGTTGAAGAATTATTTTGATAATCCTTACGTGGGATAAGGTTAGACTTCCAGGAAACCTGAACATGGACAGAGCTCCTCAAGAAACTAAGTTACTCTGGTGAGGGTAGACCCAGCAAGATAATATGACAGGAGACCATAATGGAAGGCCACAAAGCCCGCAATGCAGCTCCTGCTCATACCTCTTCTCCAATATTTCTATTTAGTCTAGACCAGAACTGTCCAACAGAACTTTCTGTGATGATGGACATGTTCTACAGCTGCTGGGTCTAATGTGTATCTATTGAGCATTTGAAATATGGCTAATGCAACTAAGGAACCAAATTTTTCATTTTATTTAATTTTAATATAAATTCAAATAGCCATATGTGATAGTGGCTATCACACTGGACAGCATGGTCATAGACACACAGGCACACACCACTTCTGATGTCACTGGACTGCCTTTGCAATCCAATGTAGGGGATGATTTTGGATTTTAAGTTGATGCCAGGTAAAGGAGAGAAGCAAAGGAGCCGAGAAAAGCACAGGACTTATAAAAAATTCAGCAAGGTGGTTCAAAAGGGAAATAATGGCACTTAATTAAGCAAAAACAATATTTATCTTGTTTGGTTAAGAGGTTCTCTTTCAAGTTTTATTCTTCTCAGAATAAGAATCAGGGATCTAAAGCTTTTGAGGCTCTTTACAATCAAGAAAGGTATGCACTAGAAAATAGAGCAGGGAGATTTATCCTGAAATACTCTTACAAAGAAAATTAAATAGTTTTTCTGCCTCTGCCTATCTATTTTTCTTTGCCACAGTCTCATTATTTACAACTAAAGAGTAAAAGCTAGTAATGTTTTAATGAGTAAAAATTTCCTCTATCCTTGAGGCAAAGTCATCAGCTTAATGAGATTGTAACATGATATAAATTTTTATTGCTCCATACCTGAAAGGGGGGGAAATAAACAAGCCATCTCTCGAGGTGACTGGCATACCACCCCGGGACCAAGCATCTCTTCTGCAAGGCTCTTAGCTCCGAAGGTGCACGGGGCCCAGCTGAGATCACTTCATAGAAGCTAAACTTCAGAGCTGCGGGGTCATCATGTGATCGCTGATGCTATGATGCAAAGGTGGATAATTAAACTAATCTCAACCATAGGCATAAATAATTAAAAACCAGTCTCTGTGACAAGTCTTAAAGCTAAAGAAAGGAGTGCCTCACTGCTGGAGAGTTATTTACTTTGAAATTTAAAAAAGATGAAAATGTCTGCTTGAAGCACCAGAACTTATGACACTGATGAGAGTAAATTTTTGAGAAGTTATTTGGTAGAAGTTGAAATCTTACTGATAGGATTCCTTAACCAACTTTGCTAAGTTGTTTCCTTAGTGTATATGTTTTATTCTGAAAGGAAACTTTTGATAGCTGCACTAATGCCCCTTTTCAGCCCAGAAGCAAGCCACTTATCATGTCCAGTGAATATTCGTAAACACAAGCACTCTACTAGTTCTGCCAAATAGGTTTGCTCCATCTAGTAATGCAGTTTTAGATTAGAAAAGCCCTCTCTGCTATTTTAAATGGAAAAATTACTAAAACTCTGACATGTACATTATCCAAAATCCACAGCTTTTATCATACATTTTCTAGCATCTAAAAGTCAAGATTATTTTACCTAATGGTAACCTTTGTGGTGAGTCAGAATTATTTATTGTGCAGAAAATGCAGAAAGCAGCAATCCAAACAGGAAAGTGTTTCATAATGGCACAGGCTTAGGCCCATGGGTTTGAAGAAATCACCTTTTCCTTCAATTGACCAATAAATATTCAGGCTTAGTGGTGAGTTTGTGGATGTTTACCACATCTAGTTGAATAGCAGATTTTCTGCAATTGAAATTCAAATTACTGTACTACAAACTCTACTAGACTTTGTTAAGGCCTGCATTTTGGCTCTGTGATTTATTTATAATATTTAGGAAATTTTGTTAGCTTGCAGCCTTAAAACCTTTTTCTGTAAACTCTATATTTTTTCAGGGACTAAATGGTTGCCAAGCTCCAATTTTCTTCTTTCTCTTTGAGTCAATTAAGGCTTATTTCTCTTTCTTCCAGATACCTGGGGGAAAAGTAAAAGGTGCAGAATCAAATCAGTCAATTTGTTACATATTTTGATTTAAAAACTAGCTCCAGGTTTGGCATGAATGATTAGTATGTGTTGGGAGCCAGCCACGGAGGCCCACTGAGCGTTAGGGATCAGGGAGGGCTGTGGACCCCAAGACCACTAGGATGTGTTTGGGAGCCGTTGACCCCATTTCCTCCTCCTTTCACCATGTAGTGCAACTAACCTAAAGGAACTCTGCTGACCTAAGCTGAAGGCTCTGTGACTGTGACAGGCATGGTTCACTCTAGAAACTCATTGTTCCTGTTTCCCATGAACTGCGGTTTCGGCTTAGGTATTAGATATAATTCAAACTCAGGTCACATTTGGGAGCATTTTATATGGTACAAGCCTCTTTATAAGATTTAAAAGTATATTTGTAGAATTAGTATATACTTATGGAGAGCTGTTTTCAGCTTTAGACGGTACAGATGATTATCTAGAGTTACCAGAAACGGTCCAGCACGAACTTTGGGCTAGGCCACATTCTTGAGGGCCCAGTGTGATCTTTGAACTGGGCCACATTCTTTTTTTTTTTGAGTTGGAGTCTCACTCTGTCACCCAGACTGGAGTGCAGTGGCCTCTCCTGGCCACCACAGCCTCAACCTGCTGGGTTCCGGCGATCCTTCTGCCTCAGCCTTCCAAGTGGCCGGAATTACAGGCATGCGCTACCACGCCCGGCTGATTTTTTGATTTATTGTAAAGATGAGGTCTCGCTGTCCAGGTGGGTCTCGAACCCACGGGCTCAGGCAATCCACTCACCTCAGCCTCCCAAAGGCGCGGGATTACAGGCTGAGCCACCGAGCCCGGCTGGGCCACATTCTTTAGGAAGTGGTTTAAGCTATAATTAAGAGCTTCCATAGCAATTGTGTAAGTAGTATTAGCATAGAATAGAAAGGTAATAAGATTTAAGTTAATCATCATGGGTGTTGTGTACACATGAGCTTTAGAAGTTATTGATTATTAGAACATCATGATGCTAGTAGGGATTGTTGCATTGCTTTTGTGG